AAAGATACACAGAAAAAGAAACCGCCCCAAGCCAATATAACCGAAGTGGATAAAATTTCTACGGATGTTGGAGATATCAACCTATCTGCTGCTGTTTCTGAAGTTAATTTGATATCAAATGCCAAGGATTGGTAGTTGGACACAGGAGCCACTCGTCACATCTGTGCAGATAAGGGTCTATTTGCTGAATATAAGACCTTGAATCATAATGAGTGTCTTTACATGAAAAATTCTACGACATCCAATATTAAAGGGATTGGAAAGGTTATTCTGAAATTCACATCGGGGAAGGAACTGACGCTTAATAAAGTTGTACATGTCCCAGATATCAGAAAGAATTTGATTTCAGGAGCTATTCTTAGTAAGAAAGGATTCAAAATGGTGTTTGAATCTGATAGATTTGTACTTACTAAGGGGGGGCATGTATGTTGGGAAGGGTTATTTACTTGATGGTCTATTTAAGGCCAATGCTGTTGTAGTGGACAAAAAATCCACATATTTGTATCCACAAGTTATCAATAAAACTAATGCTTCTGTTTACTTGCTCGAATCTTCGAATTTATGGCATAGCAGATTAGAACATGTAAATCGTGCTTCCTTAAGAAAACTTGTAGGTTTAGGTCTTATACCTAAACTTGACTCCGAAGACAAACATAAATGTGAAATTTGTGTTGAAACAAAATTTGCTAAAAAACCTTTTAACACAATTGAAAGGAGTAGTGAACCGTTGTGTTTAATACACAGCAGTGATATTTGTGATCTAAAATTTGTTCAGACTCGAGGTGGTAAAAAATATTTTATCACGTTTATAGATGATCATAGTAGATATTGCCAAGTTTATTTATTAAGTAGCAAAGACGAAGCATTGAATGCATTTGTTACTTACAAAAACAAAGTTGAAAATCAACTTGGAAAAACAATTAAGGTATTAAGATCCGATAGAGGTGGTGAATATGATTCGTCTATGTTTGATGAATTATGTGCTAAGTTTGGTATTATTCACCAAACAACAGCCCCGTATACTCCGTAGCAAAATGGGATTGCTGAGAGGAAAAACAGAACTCTAAAAGACATGTTTAATGCTATGCTTATAAGTTCTGGATTACCACAAAATTTGTGGGGAGAAGCAATGCTAACTGCTAACTTTATTCTGAATAGAGTTCCCCATAAGAAAACTGGTTCGATACCTTATGAGTTATGGAAAGGTAGAATGCCTTCCTATAAATACTTAAAAGTGTGGGGGTGCCTAGCTAAAGTGGCTATTCCACCTCCCAAAAGGATTTAGTTAGGTCCTAAAACTATTGATTGCATTTTTATCGGATACGCAATAAATAGTAGTGCGTACAGATTTTTTGTGCATAAATCTGATATAAGTGACATTCATGTCAATACAATTTTTGAATCTCGAGATGTTGAATTCTTTGAAGATGTGTTCCCTAATAAAAGAGATATTCTTGAAAATACTCAAAAGAGATCACGAGATAATGCTATTGAAAACAATATAGAACCTGAATCAAGAAGGAGTAAAAGAGCAAAGGTCGCTAAATCCTTTGGTCCAAACTTTATTTCTTTCATAATTGAGAAAGAGCCCGAAACATTTAAAGAAGCCGTGACTAGTCCAGAATCCGTATTCTGGAAGGAAGCTATAAATAGTGAAATTGAATCTATTATGAATAATATACTTGGCAATTGATTGATCTTCCTAAGGGAACTAAACCACTAGGATGCAAATGGATCTTTAAAAGAAAATTAAGATCTGATGGTTCAATAGACAAATACAAGGCTTGACTGGTTGCAAAAGGATATCGTCAGAAAGAAGGAATTGATTTCTTTGGCACATATTCTCCAGTAACAAGAATTACTTCTATTCGGGTTTTAATTGCTATTGCAGCCTTGTACAACTTAAAAATACATCAAATGGATGTTAAGACTGCATTCCTGAATGGTGATTTAAACGAAGAAGTATAAATGGAACAGCCAGAAGGTTTCATAGTGAAAGGACAAGAGAACAAAGTTTGCAAACTAGTTAAGTCCTTATACGGTTTGAAGCAAGCTCCTAAACAATGGCACGAAAAGTTTGACAGCGTCATGATTAGAAACGAATTCGTCATAAATGGACGTGATAAATGCGTATATTCGAAAAATTCAAAAAGGCATACGTACTCGTCTATTTGTATGTTGATGACATGCTTATATTAGGTACTAATATAGAAGTCATCAATAGAACAAAGAATATACTTACCAATAACTTTGACATGAAAGATATGGGTAAAGCACACGTGATTCTAGGAATAAAGATATCTACAACATCAAATGGAATAGTCTTATCTCAAACCCATTATGTTGATAAAATAATTGAGAGATTTAAGACTCATAATATTAAAAAGACGAGTAACCCATTTCTTCCACATATAGTTCTTCACAAGAATAGTGGAAATGGAAAACAGCAGTTAGAATATTCCCAAATTATTGGTAGTTTAATGTACCTGATGAATTGTACAAGACCTGATATAGCTTACTCGGTAAGTAAGCTGAGTCGTTACACAAGTAATCCAAGTAATCAACATTGGGATGCATTACTTAGAGTTTTGGGATACTTGAAACGGACCAGAGAGTATTCATTACACTATGGAAAATATCCTCCAGTAATTGAAGGATATAGTGATGCCAATTGGATATCAGATACAGATGAGTCAAAGTCTACCAGTGGCTATGTATTTACTCTCGGTGGTGGAGCTATATCATGGAAATCTTCTAAGCAAACGTGTATAGCTCGATCTATTATGGAATCTGAGTTTATTGCTTTAGACAAAGCAGGAGAAGAAGCAGAATGGTTAAGACATTTCATAGAAGATATTCCTGTATGGCCAAAGCCTGTACCAGCTATTTGTATTCATTGTGATAACCAGGACACAATAGTCAGGGCTGAAAATTTTGTGTATAATGGTAAGTCGAGACATATACGTCGTAGACATAACACCGTTCGGCAGTTGCTCTCAAATGGAACAATATCAATTGATTTTGTTAAGTCAAAAGAAAACCTAGCGGATCCGTTTACTAAAGGGTTATCTAGAGAGCGTATAGACCGCGCATCGAGGGAAATGGGTTTAAAGCCTAAAACCCAATGAGTCATCTTAGTGGAAACCTAACTTGGCAACTAGAGATCCCATGGACTAGGTTCAATAGGAAAACTAATTATGAATGACTCGATAAGAAGCACTTAGGAGTTTAACTCCTTCCCATTTCTATGATGCAAAAAGTGCTGACTATGAAGCGTATTAAGGATAGGCTCTGCTTTTAATGATGACTATAAATGGTACAAGTAATTACAGTAGGGTACTCCTCATAGTACATCACCCATGTTAGTGAGAATTTGGCCGGTTCTATGAGAATTTACTTAGGCGAATTCTCTAAAGCACTCGCAGAACCCAAGTAGTTCAGGGCCGAAATAATGAACACAATAGAGAACCAAGTTTGATATAGAGATAATGTGTTTAGTCTATTGTATGAGCTTACAATAACAGCTTACAGTTCAAAATGTTGCGTTCACTGATTAGCCAATTGAATTCGATAGATTCTTACTAAAGAAGGTTCAAAGCGAAAGCTACCTATCTTGATGCGTTATCTTTCAGATAGTACTCTTCTTCCGTCTTCCTTGATTTGAGTCGACTTCTTCCATTCATGTGGGGGATTGTTGGAATTAATTGAATTTAATTTGGGTTTAAAACATTAAATGTAATATTTAATGATGTGGGCCATTGCAATTAATTTGGATGAATTAGAAAAGTCTCCAATATAGGCCCATATGTTGATAAGCCCATTTTAAGTATTTTTTATATGGAAAGGAATCTCACATCTAAAGTTTACAAGAAAATAGTCTTGTTTATATAGTGGGTTGTGTGAATAATATATAATTTAATAAGTTACCTACCACTTGGCTAACTTTAGCTAGCCAAAGGCTAGCAAACTAGCCAAAGGCTAGTCACCACTAGAGTGGTGCTTCGCACCACTCACGCCGCTCCCCGGACCCGGTCCAGGTCCCGGCACGCGCACGTCGCGAAGTACCCATTGGGCGCTTTAGAGGCGCACTTGGCACTTCGCACGTACGCATCGTCGCGAGGAGCTGGGGAGCCTTATAGTTTTCGAAATTGGACTCGTGGTTCGATGACATAGCAGCGCAAGGCTCGTTGAGTTAGCATTCTAAGTGGCGCACGCCCTTCGTCCTGCATGACGGTTAGATGTACGCGTGGCATCCGCATGGCTGTGACTATTCAGAAATTGGTGAATAGGCATGATGAATGGACACTTCACTTCATGGTTCAACCTGGGCCGTTAGATCATGAAAATAGTGCTATCCAATAGCTAAGACGAATCAGACCAAGTGGTGCACCAATTCCTGAAATGTCACACACCTATTCCATGAGACACTTCAATCTCTATAAATAGAGACCCCCAGATTCGTTTTTTGACACACCAAATCAATTACGAATTCAATTGATTTCTAAACTCTTCTCTCTCCATATTCTGCTCTAAAAATTCTCTTATATTTTCGTGGTTATTCCGTTCGAGTACGATCATTCATTAGTTCGACCGACAAGGTTGGTATTGTGCAGTATTGACTTTGAAAGGAGCGTTGTATCTTGGGAGACAGACGTCCATAATCCCATTTGCACTTCATTAGGGGGCGAAATCTGTCTTAAGGAAATTTGCTTTGGCATACCTCGCTTCATCTACTATTTTCTATTTTTTTCTACTTATTTTATTTGTTCTTTTGATTGCGTTAGTCAAATTTCCGACAACAATTGATAATATGAGTTTCTAAAACACGTTTTGGGTTTAGAAGAGCTCCGCATAGTAGACCTAATTTAGATCAAAGTGCATCATCGATCTCTCATGTTTTTTTTTCATTTCTTGGTTTCACTTTTCGACTTTGGCTTTATTTTGTTAAATTCTGGGTTTATCACTTATCAAGGCTGTTTAAAATTTATCCATTCGAATTCTTCCTATATCAATAAATAAAGAAGCAACTATAATTGTCATTTTGATTACAAACCAAAGAGCAATTTACAAATAATGTAGTTTTAGTTTCCAAATCGTTTGATCATAGCAGTAGAAGTACAGATTTGTACCAAATTCAAGAAGCAGCCTGGCTAGTATCTATCTCCATTATTATGCACCTTCTTGCTCACATAGTGCAACCATCCAATTCCTTTAATGGCCTTTGAAATCCTAACCAGATTATGTCTTGCCATACTCATGTTCATTTTCCCATACTGCCAATTGTAGGATTCAATTTTACTTTTCTTCTTCTTCTTCGTCTTTGTTTTGCATATCGACTCGACCTCCACTTCATATGTCTCCCACAATGAATCCATCCCATCACCACCATCGACATGGTGTCTTTCTTCAAATAACTTACAAGCCAATGTTCTCTTCCACTCTTTTGCCTTCTTCACAGAGCCACTGTAACTGAATACTTTTGAAGTGTATTCATTATACTCTGCAATGCCACACTCTTTTTCATTTTCAGTAGGTGCTGCCTCGGATCCACTTGTCACAACATCTTGTTTTTCTACTCTCTTTTCTCCCATTTCAATTGAATTTAGCTGCATGAAATGAATTTTCTTGTAATTTACCTGCGGAAAAATCTTTACATTTGCAGTTACTAGAATCCTCAAGGGTTGAACAGTTAACACCAGATTCTGATACTTGCAAAGATTGGATTGCTTTTACCTCGATCATGGAGGAGTCAAACGCAATTTGAAGATCGTCCAAACAGCGAATCTCTTCATTTTCATCATCTAAATTAAACCATAATCTTTCGACAATTTTATTACACGGAATAGTAGATAACAAGCCTTGCATCGAGATGACTTGGTCGAACGAATATGAGCTATAAAAGGTATGGCGAGAAGCAAGTATGAGAAGTGTAGAGGGTGAGAAAAAAGCAAATAAAACAAAGACAGATATAAATTGATCGTTGGAACAAGCATTTTCAATTCTCGTTTGGTCATCTAATCAAGAAAAATAGAAGAAAATTTTGTTAAGGGAGAAAAATGTGTGATTGTGGAAATGAATGCGGCGTGAATAAAGGGAATAACAATTATGCATGTAATTGACAGGCTAACTAACGATTACATGAAAGAAATAGCGTTTTCTTTGGAAACATCGAATTCTATATATTTTTATTTTCTAATAAACTTTGATGCAGAATGTTGAAGGGAATTTTGTAAGTGAAAAGAGAGTCCAAGATTGAAAATTGGTGCAGAAAATACAATACGAGAAGCCCTATTTAGAGCCATTCAAACAAGGGTCTCATGGCTCTCGAAAAGCTGCAAAATTTTCACTTCAAAAGAAAATTGTTAGATGAACGCTCGAATAAATTTGAACATGAGTAAATTGTTGAAGAATTTTAGTTTTCCTTTCGAAAAAATTGAAACTTAAGGGCATTTGGAGCACGTATTCACAATTTTTCATATTATTGTCTTCTAAATAAAACTTGTTTTGAGCAACTAAAACTTGTATTTTAATGGCGAGTTACCAAGAAAATAAATTTGAGGAATTTGTTCCTGCAAATGGGCCATGTGATTTTCAATAAATAATGTGTTCTGTGAACATTATCTGCTCACATACCGAGTACTTAGCATTAAACAAATTGTTGGTTTGTCTTATTTCTGCCACTTGAATTCATGTTTTTTGTTATTCTAATTAGCTTATACATTAGCATCTCTTGTTCCCATGTGTAATTAAAGCTGGTTACATTGGCAATAGAGACAAATTTGACTAATTACTCGCACATTAGAAGTAAGAAGTTTATAAATAACAAAATATTTAATTGATTAAATTAATGAAGCCTCTACAGTCTCGCATTCTGAGTTCCACTCAATATTCAAGCTCTTAAGAAAGTTCAAACAAATCGAGTCAAATCAATATGAGTGACAAAATTTAAAATTTTGCAAGACAACTCCACTTGGTTGCACCTTGTTCATGTCTAGATAATCATACCAAACCCAAAAAAATCAAGAACCCAATGAATCAACTCCATCACTGTCATACAAGAGAATTGCAACAACTTGATGTTTAGAACACTAGTACAACTAGAACAACATTCATCAATCTATTCACTTCAAATTGAAAGCATCTAACTTGCAAATGCATGAATGAATAAAAACCGTTGTCATGACAATGTAGAGGATTCCAAACATTTCAAATTATTGCAGACTATATTCAAACATATTATTTTTACAGCCATAATCCCAAAACTTTTATCTCGATTGCAACTTGAGGACAAATGGTGTCCGCTCATTTGGCATTTAGTCAACTCACAAAAAATCAATTTGACCATATTTTGACCAAATTTCAAAGGGCAAAATGATAATTTTGTATTTCCCAACAGAATGATTAAAAAATTAAATAAAAAATGAAATTATAACTTCCCCCCCACCCACCTTTCGGTAAAGTCAGATCTTTTTTCGCATTTTACCTACCATTGGCAAATTCGATTAATGCAGTTTGAAGTGAAATGAACTTTAATGTTTCTAATTTCTATAATCAATAAGAACAAACAATAACATATATTTGAAGGCTAATACATCAGCTCATTCCTGATATTTGAATTCAAACAGTTTGCAAGAAATGCTTGTAACCCAATAAATTCGACAAATTCAAGGTTCCAGCCACAGCATTGACACGAAAATTCTAGTAGTAGTATCCTAGAGACATTATTGAATGCATTCTAGAAATCACACCCAAATTAAAGCTCACATCATGTAGCCATCATTCCGTCATAACAGGTTTATTTTCATTTGCTTTAGGCTTCTGTTCCCTTGGTTTCTGCTCTTCAGTTTTCCTGGATTCACAAGCAAATAAAAAAAGCATGTCAGGAAAACACTTACGGTGTTAAGTTGCATCAAGAAACCTTTTTTCCTTCTCAAATAACTTTATAGGACAAAGGAAGGCACTATATCTCATGAGAAAATATGAGTGCTCTCAACTATTCAAAGGGGAGTCAAGAAACAGGAAAAAGGTAGGCATAAACCACACATTTTAAGATCTGTTTTCATATTCTGTAAAAAATTTCATATTCTATAAGGTGCATTTGATCGTCAATATTTTCCATAGAAAACGTGTTTTTTCCTCAAACTCCTACTTCTGTGCTGTTTGATTGTCATTTTTTCCCATGGAAAACATTTTCCTACTTTTGGTCATTTGACCATATTTTCCTCAAAATCAATGAAGATATATATATATATTTTTTTTAGGGGAAGTAAAATTTCATTTTCCAGGAAATTCACTCTCTCTTGTCTACCCACTAATAAGAAATGGACAAGTACACGTAAATCAACAACTTTTCAACCACTCATTTTTCAAAAAAACACTATTCATCTCATTATAATTTACAAATAATGGGGTTCAAACGGGAACTTAATTGACAATTTTCATGCAAATAAGTTCTAGACAATTGAATTACCTAAAATTTATTTTTTTCCATACAAATTTCATGCTTATAATCAAACGCACCCTAAATTCACTCATTAGCCACATGCAGAATAAGGAAATTAATTGACAAAATAAGTTTCGAACAATGGGATGTGAGTCATATCACTGAATCTAGTAGAAAACTGCCAATTTTTCCTTCCCGAGAATACATTACTTTACAAAGCCAAACAAAAATCTTAGGAGTCATATCAAGAATTTAATGAAAAGATCATATTTTGCAACTAAATCACCATATCTCACAGCTACAAAATGGGACATGCAACTCCTCTTAACACCCAAATACAGAAACCACACATTGTGGAGTTGCTTAAAGCTTACAAGCAAAATCAGTAAAAATATAAATCCATATACATGAACCTAGTGAAAGAAAACATATTTTCAACACGTTGTTAATCATTTTGATAGACATTTCACGATTGGAACAATAATTGAAAGATTAGGGCCAAACTTAAGGCCCTTTCGTAACTTGTTCAAACACTTCAAAAATAAATGACATGAAAAAAATCCTAATAAAGGTTATCTTTCCCAAAAAATATTGCAACCAATTGAATTCCAACCTTTCGATCTTAGTTGAACCTTTTGGTTTATTGCTGGAGTTAAAAACACGATTTTGTAGAATCACATAGATACAGAAATCGGGCGGGTTGCATTTCAGTTTTCATCTGACATTTCAGTAAGAATTTGTTAAGAGATTCAACAGTTATCCTTATCTTGTTCTTTTTATTTTCTAATTTCTCCCACCCCATATTCTATTTTCCTCTTAATTTGGTTGAGTTGCAGTTAAAATCAGCTGGGCTCATTTCTGAGTTGGAGCTGCGGTGAAGCTTTGATTTGAACTTAAGCCGTGAAAATTAACTCAACAAACTCTCTCTAGAGAGCTAATAAATGTACTTCCTTTTATGAACTAGATTAACCCATTGTATGTGATTAGAAGATATTCTAGCTAAGAAGAAAACTAAATCACGCATCAACATTATGCAGTTACCTTAGCACAAAATAAACCATAATTTTCATTCTGGGCAAACTAATTTTCCTGCGCTGATACACCAACGTATAACACAAAAAGGGCAGAAATTAAAAAAATCTTTCTGGTGCCTACCAACAAAAATATACCAGGTGCCTGTATATACCTCAGACAACTCACAAAAAATCCACACAAGTAGTATGGCATATAATCTCCAAATAGACACCCATAAATAGAAATAAAATTATTAAAAAACAAGAAACGAAGTAAAAATTAAAAAAAAAAAAAATTCAACTACGATAGAAAACAGTAAAAACCTTTTATCAGACGAGCCACCCTTCTGGCTGAGGAAGGATCGGAATAGTGGAGAATTCACGTCGTAAATCATTTTCAACTATTAAATTTATACCGAGAGATCTTCAATCAAACCCCTAGCTCTTAACCCTAATCCTATTTCTTATCTATCAGCAGCTTCTACAACTTTCACGTGCTGAACCGTGGACGGTCGAGTTTATATGGGTGTATCGGGCCGACAATGGAATTCAAGCCCAAGCCCAAGCCCAAGCCCAAGCCCAATTTCCGTCTCCCCAAAAATAAAGGGGAATTAAATACTAAATCCTTGTTTGAACCCTATTCTTTTTATATATATATATACATATAGAGTGTTTGGGAGACTTTTTATGTAAAAAGGTATTTTTAAATAGTAAACTGATGAAAAATATATGGTTGAAAAATAAAAAATAAAAATTTATTTACGTGTAATGTTATTTTAATAAAAAATGTGTCGTTGAAAAGAAAAGAGATAAAAATGCATTTTGAAAAAAAATGGGTACCAAAACGGGACAATATATATTTTTGTTTTTGTATTTTTTCAACAGTATTTTAATATTATTTCAATCGCACATTTTTCAATAAAATAATATTACATGCAAATTCAAAACTTTTTTGTTTTTTATTTTTTAACCAAACATTTTCCATTAATACATTATTCCAAAATGTATTTTTCCTTCAAAATAAGACTCAAACAAGGGCTAAGTATCAATTCGTCAAATATTTTGATCACAATATAATCTTCCGTGTCTTAAAAATCAAATTTTGATCCTGGGTGAATTTTTTACTCACTAATATCTCAAATCAGCACGAGTAATAAACCCAATCCAAAACTCAAGATAAGATTTACTATACTAAATCGTTTTCGATTCTTCAATAATTCATATCGCGATGGTATTGATGGTATGAAAAATCCCTCGCTAGGATTACCTTATGATTAAAGTCTCACTTCATTCATAGACTGAGGTTCTTGTACCTATGATCGATAGTTTGCACAGAATAAAATAATGCTATTCCTAATTATGCATGTGACTTGTACCTTGAGTCCTTGACTAATAAAAATTAGACTAAATTACGGAAACTTCCATACTTTCTTGGCTGTAGCAGATAGTATTTCCTCCGGAAGTAACTAGTAGCCATGAACGTTGAACTGAAGAATGAGGATAAACTATTGAGAAAAAAGGGCACCTTGAAGTAAATGCTAGATACATGTATGTATTTGAATTCAAATCAGGATTTTTTTTTTTTGTTCACTACCACCTTGGAGTATCAATGGCACTGATAACCATGATCTCAACAATTCATCATTTTTAATGTAAAAAAAGAAAGAAAGAAAAATCCTAGTGTTGAAGGAAGAGTTATGAATCTCCTGAGAGTAGTGACACTAGATGAACAAACTTCATCATAACCCGTCCCTTGGACCTTGTGCTGATATAAAATGCTCTGGGTGTTTCCTCAACAACATCAGCAACCATACCATGGTTTTCCATTGGCTTCTGGTCCAGGATACTCCTCTGACGTGAATACCTCCTCACACGACTATGATGCCAGATATTGCCGTATGGTTCATGTAACTGTACAAGCGAACATAGTCATTAAGGAATGCTAACGTTCTCAAGGCAAAATTCATGGATGAAATCACTGTCATCGACACATTTAGCAGTTACAAATGATGAAACTAGCATCATGAATGTCATTGATGAAAAATAGAAGCATGTCACCAGAATACTCAAAATATGTAAGACAAGTGAGCTTAAATTTATAATTGAAGTGTTAGTATGATTTTATAAATGCTTAATTCTATTCATTTCAGAGGGAGGAAAGAATTGATAAAATGTCCGAATTTAAAATGGCAAACATGATGACAGGGTGTTTACCATAAACCATTAATTTACAGCAAAACTGTAGAATAGTACTAATAAGTCCCAGGAGCAGAAATGCTAAACAAGGTACCACAGCAGAAATATGTTAGCGTAAATTTATCCTAACTTATATTAACTAGTGATGCAGCACCAACTCAAGCAATTAATTGAATGTGAGAACGGATCTATGGGAAGGAGGGAATTGAAGGAAAGAATGGGGGAAGAAGAAGATTACACAATAGAAGAAGAAAATAGGAAGAGAGAAGAAGAAGAACGGGGAAGAGAGGGAATTTCGTCACAAGCCACCAATATAATTATTCATTCATCAACTAACGAAATTACATGGAAAAATAAGTTTAAATAGTAAACCAAAACCCTAACTAGACTGGGCTTGGGCCAATATAAGCCCAATAAAAATCCACAACAAAATAAAGTCTACCAAAATGAAATAAGGTTCAACTAGAAATAAATAAAAAGACTGGTCATCAACTAGACTTTGAGAAATTCCATCCGTGTATTCTTTGACCTTTCGTTAAACATAATGCATTGGATAGCTGAGAGTGGTTGGGAATACGGATGGACATTTGCTGGCTCAAAGCAGAAAAGCTACTGAAAATGGCTGCTACTTTCCAGCCCAAAAAATTTAAGAAAAGGTGAATATGTCCAATGATATAATTACCTTTTGAGTTCCAAAAGGTATTCTAATTTGAACGAACAATCAGAATAGGAATGCAACTCATTAGTAGCAGCTCAAAGTCGTAAAACATTGAAGGAACATCTTGAAAGTGGCACAAAAGAAGTGTTCAGTCAATATCGAGAGAAATCCTGGTGCAGTGAAATAACATAAATGGAATAGTAGGTTATATATTCAAGTTGGTAAAGCTATCTTTAGAAATGCCCTCATTTCTGTAATGAGATTTGTATGGTTTGTGAAGGTATACACAATACAAATACAAAGTAAATAACCACGATGAAAATTAAAAACAACAAACAACACAAGGACAAAGCGAGTTCACAGCTTATGTAAAATCAAAAATAGATATCGAAGTTATTAACATATCAAAGATATAGATATTCCAGGCAAGTCCTCTAAAAGTGGCAAAGAAGAAGGCCCTCGGTTGTGAGACTTTCGTGAAACAAATAAAGTTTAAAGGGAACATTGTTTATACATTCAAGTTGTTCAATTCATAAATTGAACTTTTAGGAATAAGACATAAAATTCAGAATAAAATTAATAGAGCCGCAATATCTGTACTCTTTGTTGCTATCTACTCTCTCACAAATTATATAGAATATCCTAGGATTTCAATGCCCTCAGCAAGCAAGAGAATTCAGACGTCTGCCAATACAGGCCCCTGTATTCTATCTGAAGCTGATTTGTGTCTATTGCAATCCTTTCTTATTTACACCATCTCTGCCCCTCTGCTCCCCCTTATGGTAAACTATGCCCTCAGCTCCCACCCACCTCCAGAAACAAAATAAATGAATGAATATATAATTTCCTCTCATGAAATCCCTCCTTGAAAAGGGATAAAAACGAAATGTAAAGGAAAGGATTAGCATTCTCCAATTCACAACACTATCTTTGTCTCTTTTGCACATCAGCTTTACTGTCCTCATGAGTACTCAAGTATCTAAACAGGCATTTATCACTTTCACACTATGATTACTCCAACAGTATACCAAGACAAAGAAAAAGGTTAGTTATTGCATCGCCAACAAACAATTATCATCTATGCATTATCATCTATGCAATCTCTCTGAACTCCCTACCAATCATCTCCTTTTAATTTCCTTTCCTTGTGCCTTAAATGATGGGAGATATACAGTTTAATGGGTAACACATTTCAGTATTTTTTGGTGAACAGCCAATTCAGATTTTAAAAGGGGTGGAATGATAGAGATTTTAGTAAGAGGAAGCTCTTGCTTCTCATTTTTCGGCCCATGGATTGGTGTTTTGCGGTTAGGGAGTAATTTAGTTTCAGTACACTGAATTAACCTGTTCTTTTCTATTCTACATTTTTGTGAGTGGGGGGAGAGAGAGAGAGAGAGAGAGAGTTCTAACTTACCTCAGAATGACGTTTTTCCATCGGCATCCATTGTCTAATAGCTCATAGATCAGAGAGCACTGTGGCCACTGATGATACCACATCCTTCTCCTCTAATTGCAGAAGCCGCTGATTATCAGCTTCCCTATCAACTTTTGATCTTCCATCAATCTCTTTATCTGCAAGATACCTGGACCTAATCACGTCAACAGCATTCAAATGGGATACTTAAATCCCATTAAACTCAAAAGCTACAGATCATTCCTCTGCCCATCCATTTACTTATGTTATCCAATAAACTATACATCATGACTCTAGGCAATCATTAATAATGAATCTGGGAACGTACAAGTAAAAGTGTAAGATCGTGGTCAAATTGGAGCCTCATTCCATTAACTTAAATTCAGTTACTTAGGAGTGTTTCACAGGGTTTCCCTAATCGCCACAATTTTCACTCAATAAAAGGGCACGTGGAGGGAAATAACACGTTAAAATAACATAGATCAGAGAGCACAGTGGCCACTGATTACACAAACACACACAAATGTTGAATATGTGGACTTCATCACCTACCAATGTCAAGCCATAAACTAATTTGCCATTTATGCAAAGTCCTAAGAAAGCTCAAATAGTTACCAGAACCAACCAAGAACCACCAATTGATGTACCGAAAATGATTCAAAACCTAGGAAACGAGATAAGCAGAAATCTGAACGTAATTTGATGATGTTTTCGTTCACTGTTCTCGGTGTGTAACTACAGAAGTGAGGCCATTTATGATTGAACTACTAATCTTGGAGCAGATAGCACATAAACAACAATCTGTATCTGTTACTTGTCATTACCAATCCACAAGAACACACTGAATGAAAGAGATATGCACACAATTCTTAGCCAATACAATTAACTGAAATCAAATTACAGTATATCGTTAATTCAATAAATCAGATAAGAATTACGCACCCAGTGGTCCCGAAATTGAAGCCTTTCCACCAGAACCTGATGCATCGGAACCACTAGGACCATCAACCTCATCCTCTCTCATCCTTTTACCTGATGCAGAACCATCATCTCCATTGCTCTCCTCCTCGTCATAATACTCCCTTGCTCTCCCCTTCCCCAACCCTACGCCTCTCGACCCCGGGGGAGGCGGCAACCCCAAATGCTGCTGTTTCTGAGCACCGTGATTACACTGATTACTAATTTTATAATCATTGGCATGATGTCTGGGTCCGATGGGCCCACCCAAAATGCTTTGAACGGGCAACAGAA